CTGGTTAGGTGCAGGCCTGTAATTCCAGCTACTCAGGAGGCTGAGACAGGAGGACCACAAGTGCTTACTGTGTTTGGGGTGCAGAGTGCATTGAAGGCTACCTGGGTAACTTAGTAAGACTCTCTTTCAAAATTAAAAGTAAGAAAGTAGGGCTGGAGGGATGGCGCAACAGTTAAGAATCCTGGCTGCTCTTCCATAGTATCCCCAGGTTCAATTCCCAGCACCCACATGACAACTCAAGACTGCATTACAATTCCAGGGGATCTCACACTTTCACAGACATACATGCAGGCAAATCACCAATGCACTTTCAAAATAAATAAGTAAATTTTTGGCTGGGCAGTGGTGGCACATGCCTTTAGTCCCAGCATTCTGAAGGCAGAGGCCGGCAGATCTCTGTGAAGTTGAGACCAGCCTGGTTTAGAGAGCAAGATCCCAGACAGCCTCCAAAGCAATTTAAAGAAACCCTACTCGAAAAAAGAAAAAAAGAATAAAGAAAGAAAGCAAGGAAGGAAGGAGAAGGAAGAAGTGGGTGGTTAGGGATATAAATAAAATAAAAACTACTACAAGAAACTTCTCTTCACTGAAAACAAATGCATCCCATTAACCAATCTTGCCCACAGCATCTTCTTGGACCAATATCAGGTTATCTTTCATATCTCTTATATATCATTTTTACATACCACATCACTGATGTGTAGTCCAACATTTCTAATTCTAATCAGAACAGTGGTCAAGTATAGAGATCATGCCTAGCATTCAGGAGACCAGTCATCTTTTGTTACAAAGTGAGTTTGAGGCCAGTATGGGATACCTGAGAATTTTTCTCAAAAAGCCCCCAAAATTATTAAAATAAAAATAATTATGATTTGTTACATTTTTAATGTAGAAAAGCAAAGACCAGGGAGATGGCTCATCAGGTAGCCTGGTGACCTGAACCCATCAAAACTGGCCAAACCTTTATACATAGCACAGAAGCAGAAATAATGAAGACTCTACCTCAGAAACACTATGGAAGGAAAGAACTAGCTCCAAAACCAATTTTCCCCGGACTCTCACATTCTTGGGAAGGTCAAGTCCACCTGCGACTTTACATTCACACACAAGAAAATTAAAAAAATTTAAATTAAGTAGAAAAGTAGAGTAAAACCTTGAAAGTACTTATTTGGCAATCTATACTTTCAAACTTGTCTTGTTCTTTCTGTAGAATATCTCCAAAACAATATGCTATCATCAGTCTCTTGGTTGCCCACCAGAACTTGATGGTTAGCCCCTACTGCTGCACAACTGGTCACAGGACATGAGAAATCAAGTTGTACTGACCAAAGGCCTTCCTCCCTGGTGACTAGCATTCATAGTGTTAGAAGGTGCTATATAGGCTGCTCAGGGGAGATAATCAGCTGTTCTTATCCATCTGTGAATCTGTAGCTGCAATAATAAGCAGTGTGGTACAACAGTGAAGTAACCATCTGCTTTCTGATTGGCTAATGGCCTGATCCATTGCAGACAACTCATGTCTGCTACTGTAAATCTGGCCAAGGACCCACAGTCGGGAAGCTCATATGCCCTAAGTATTTTACTCAATTGACATAGCATCAATTTGCCCTCTAAATTTATATCCTTATACCACAGATTGGTGCAGCTGTCAGACCTCATCCAAGAGACTTCCTTATGAGGTGGAAGGAAGTTAACATAGAAGCACCTAGTTGAAATGCAGAGAAAGAGCATCTATGGACGGAACAGCCACAAACTGGGCATCTCTGTCACCTCCCTACACTAATAAAGTTGTAGCCACTGAAGAGTGGGTGAAAAGGTCATGAAGAACAGAGGTTGCCAAGGAGTGGAGTGACAACAGCATCTTCTGTGGGAGACAAAGTGACTGCACTCATCAACTCATGGCAACTGCAGGTGCTGCATAAAATCAAGGTGGCCAACATTCTAACAGGGAGAGGCTCATGAGCCTTCCCTCCAAGTGAGAAAGTACTAACATCTGATGGCTGCCGGAGGAGGCAAAATCAGTTTTCATAAGGGTGTCTCTCTTGATACACTGATCAAACTCCAGTGGACTGCCTGATACCCATGAGTATATGGGCTCAAAAATTGGACTCAAATGGTTATTTTAAAATAGATAGAGAGGAGACAGGTGGTGGTGGCAAATGCCTTGAATCCTAGCACTAGGGAGGCAGAGACAGATGGATCTCTGTCAGTTGGAGGCTAGCGTAGTCTACAGAGTAAGATCCAGGACAGCTACCAAAGCTAGAGAAGCACAGTCTCAAAGAGAGAGAGAGACAGAGAAAGTGACAGAGAGACAGAGAGAGACAGAGAAAGAAAGAGGATATGGATTTAGGAGAGGATGGGCAGATAAGAATGGACCTAGGAGGAGTTAGGTAGAAAACTGGGAGACAAATACATTGTATGCATATATGAAATTCTCAAAGCATCAATAATAATATCACACTAAAACTACCTTACTGAAATTTCAAAGGGTTTGTCTCATTTGGATTATTTAAGTTATTTATATTGCACATTTATAATAACTTTAAACACCTTTACAAAGGCTCCCAGGTCCCTGGCAGCCCTCAGGTGTTATCTGTCCAGCCAACTTTCCTGATTGGAGTTTCTCAGCACACCTGAGGCCCGAAGAACACTAACCATTCACTTCAAAATCTGAGGACAGATTTTTAAAAAGGTTTGATGAATTCTCGCATTGGTTGCTTCTGTCTAAAGGGTTCCTATTGGTGCTAAACTCTGTCCCCAGGATCCAAGTGAGCATGGGTCAGGTTACTTCATGGAGGAGAGTTTGAAATTATCTTGAGTGGATTGTGTGATTGCACGTCATGAGCTCTTGGAGAAGCTTTGTGAGAGCAACTAATGAGACAGGGGTTGAGAAAAATCTCAAACAGATGACATCACAGATTAGGAGTCAAGCTGGAGGCGTAGCTAGGCTATTCATTGCCCTAATGGTGACCTAATGATGGCAATAATTCTATCCAGGAAGAACTTCTTGGTAAAACATTTAAAAGACTCAGGCACTAGGGTGGGTGTTGCAGGAAGATCCCTAAGGCAAAAGTTAGGGTAGAGTATCTCTGACAGGTTTTGTAATGTGCTGCTCTCAAAGGTGGATCCCATACCATGTTTCAGTAGAGGTATAGGGGTAGGAAAATGCCTGACCATGGGAGGAACTTTGTATGGGAGCTCAAGAAGTAGTCAATGGATCCCTGAAACTGTGGCACCCCTTGACAAGGATTAACAGTGGCCGATTTTTGCCAATCATGACATAAGTCACCCTGTCTTTATGTGTTTGTCTCTCTCTGTCTGTGTGTCTCTCTCTGAGTGTGTGTGTGTGTGTGTGTGTGTGTGTGTGTGTGTGTGTGTGTGTGTGACCACACCTGTGCTGCTACTCTGTGTTATTGAACATTCTCATTTCCGGGACGGAAGGCCAACTCTTGGTAAGGGTAAGTACATGATCCCCCAGGAAGCCTGGGACTTGATGGGAATTGTTGTGGGTATCCATGGATTCCTGGATGCCAAGCAGGTCAAAGCCTTTAGTGACACAGCAAGACCTTGGAAAGGGAGCACTTCTCGCTGTCCTAACTCTCAGCAGCCCTCTATCCTGATCACTCCCGAGTAACCCCACTGTTGAGAAAGAGTTCCCTGTCTTACACAGTGTGAGATAACCCCAGATCCCCACACCAGACAGGTTAGACCAAGCAATCAAGTATATTGATAGCACAGGGCAGAAGAACACATGCCAACTCAGTGGACTACGGGGAACCGGCAAGGCTATGAGGTTCATGCTTTGTAGCAACAATAGTGTATACTGGACTTGTTTGAATTATGTACAGACTCACAGGGACGTCAAACCCAGAGATTTACTGACCAGGTGAGGCATAGCCAGTAGATTAATAGGGGTGCTAGTCATTTGGGGTACACTTCACATTGGAAGTTTCACTCCCTAGGAAAGACTGAAAATTGAACAGGTGTTGGGGGCCTATGATTTTAATTCCAGCTTCAGGTAGGCAGGGCAGATAGTTCTCTGTGAGTTAGAGGCCAACCTGATCTAAAGAGCTGGTTCCAAGACAGCCGGTACTACACATAGATAAACCTTGTCTCAAAAATGAAAATAATAATAAAGAGGGAGAAGGAGGTCTAGTAATAATGTAAATTTCACAAAATGGTTAAAATTATAATCATGAGTTTTTAATTAAAAAATTCTATAATGGTTGGGGTTTATCACATAGTGGGGATAAATCCTAGGCTAGGGTTCTCTGGAATTTACTTTGTGTTGTAAACTGTCCTGATTTCCTTCACTAATCCTCCTGCCCTGTCTCCAAAATGAAAATATGAAAACACTAAGAAAATGCTACTTTGGTTTGTTTCAGAAGCAAGATCTCTTGTGGCCCATATTGACTGTATCAGGTGTTTGGTGTATCAGCTTGATGTTAGTTAGAGTCATCAGTGGGGAAGGAGTCTCAGCTGAGGATTCTTCCCTGAGTCCAGCTGTAAGGCATTGTTTCATTTATCGATCTGTATGGGGAGGATCCAAAGCATGGCAGTCCTGGCCTTCTATAAGAAAGCAGGTTGAAAAAGCCAGGGAAACAAGCCAGTAACAGCACCTCTACATGGCCTCTGCATCAGCTCCTGTCTCCAGTTCCCTGCCCAGTTTGTGCTCCTTTCCTGGCTTCCTTCAATGGTGAACGCTAATATAGAAGCATAAGTTGAATAAGCCTCTTCCACCCCAACTTTCATTTTTGGTCATGGTGTTTCAGCTCAGCTTTCGAAACCCTAAATAAGACAATTTGGTACTGGTATACCGGGCTATTGCTGTGAGAGGCCTGACCATGTCTTGGGGAGGATTTTGAAAAGGACTTTGGAACTTTGGGCTAAAAGAGTCATTACTGTTAAGAGCTCAGTGGCATGTTCTTTATGAGCTTGGGAAGTAAGAATATTGAGAGCGGTGTAGACGATGGAGGACTGGCTGGTGAGGTTTCAGAAGACATCTTAAAGTCTCTATCAGAGTCATTTGCTATTTTGAATTAAGATTGTGTGATTCTGGTTCAGTGGGGCCCAAGAATCAGTTGTGATTAACAAGACACCAGAACTACTAAATTGAAACTTTGCTTTGCTGGTGTACTTGATGCTTCTCAGCTAGAGCTAAGAAGTTAGTGGGGATTAAGAGGAGACCAGAGGCCTGGGTAGTGGTGGCACACTCCTTTAATGTCAGTACTTGGGAGGCAGATACAGGTGGATATCTGTGAGTTTGAGACCAGCCTGGTCTACAAGAGCTAGTTCCAAGATAGGCTCCAAAGCCACACAGGGAACTCCTGTCTCAAAAAGTCAGAAACAAAAGTTAATCAAGTGAAATCTTCTGGGAAGTATGTCTCGAGAGCATTGAAAATCTGTGTTCCAGAGTCAGCCGAGGTTGTACCATATGCTGGCAGCCAGACTTTTACTATGAGTAAGAGTCACCTAGGTAGTACTGTGTTTTGAAGGCATGGAGAGCAGCTGAGGGTTGGCACTGTGAGAAGGCAGGAGAGGCCATTGGTGAAGGTACAACCTCACTGGTAGTTGAAGGCCTGGGACTGAAGGGGTCACACAAATACACTGAGGCTTGGCACCATGAAGAGAGCCTATGAGAGGCTATTGGTAAAAGTTCTGGTCAGCTGCAACATTTTGTAGATGCCAGTAGAACATGGAATGACCACCACCAACAGCAGCAGAGGAGTGGGGTGGAGCCATCTTGAGCCTAGAATACAAGCTGTGTTTGCTGCAGAGGGCAGAACCTGAGAAATGACCCACCTCTTTGAAGGAATCTAGAAGATTGTGAGTAGATCCCAGACATTGGACATTTGGAATTTATTCTGCTTTGATTTGATTATGACAGTGCCGGATTTTTCCCTCCTGAAATAATTTTTTCTTTTATCATTTTATTTTAATTTTATATAGCTTGTTTTACATGTCAAACCCAGTTCCCTCTCCCTCCCCTCCTCCGGCACTCCCCTTCCCCCAGAGCCACCCACCCTATTGTCAAATCCTTCCACATAGGGGGTACCTAGAATCTGTCATTTCACTCTGGGTAGGGTCCAGGCACTCCCCTTATAGTCCAGGCTGAGAGAGCATCCCTCTTTGTGCTATGGGCACACAATGACTGTATTCCAGGGATAGATACTGATTCACAGCTCAGGGCCCCATAGGTTGCCCAGGCCTTCTCGCTGACACTCACATTTGGGGAGTCAAGATCAGTCCCATGCTGACCTCCCCGCTGTCAGTCTGGGGTCCAAGAGCTCTCCCCTGTTCAGATCAGCTGTCTCTGCTGGTTTTGCCAGCCCATTCTTTGCCTATTTCCTCATCACTCCTCTCTGTCACTGGGTTCCTTGGGTTCAGTTCAGTGTTTAACTGTGGGTGTTTGCCTCTGCTTCCATTAATCACTGGATGAAGGCTCCCGGATGGTTATAGACATCAAGTTCATTATCAGGAATGGGCATTCGAGGGGGTCTCTCCACTATTGCTTATCTTGCCAATTGGTGTTATCCCTTTAGACCACTCGAGGTCACTCTGCTGCCTGATCTGTCTTCTAACCTATGATTCCCCCTTCCCCTATTCTACTCCCATCCACACAACTTCCTGTTCCTCCATGACCTACTCTCTTTCTCTTCTCCCCCTCTCTTCGGACCCAGCTCCCACCCCCCCACCCCTCGCCTTGTTCCCATCCATTCAGAGGATCTTGTCTCAATCCTCTTCTCTTGGGTACTATGCATATATGCATATCTTTTAGGTTCTTTCCTGTTTCCCAGATACTTTATAAGTGGAAATGCAGACTGGCACTATCCTGATCCATGTCTAAAATCCATATATGAGTGAGTACATACCATGTTTGTCTTTTTGCGACTGGGTTACCTCACTCAGGATGGTTTCTTCCAGTGCTATCCATTTCCCTGCGAATTTCAAGATTCCATTGTTTTTTTCCTGGTGAATAATACTCCATTGTGTAAATGTACCACATTTTCTCTGTCCACTCTTCAGGTGAGGGGCATCTATGTTGCTTCCAGGTTCTAGCTATTACAAATAATGCTGCTATGAACATAGTGGAGCAGATGCCCTTGTTGTATGAATTTGCCTCATTTGGAAATAATTTTTATTGGCGCCCACATTTGAGAGTCTTTAGATTTTAAAAGAAACTGGCTATTTTAGTTGGACTGAAATTTTCATGTGTTTGAATTTGTAAGAATATGGAACACTTAAAGTTTGTTTTAATCGTGCGATCTGGGGAATGAATAAGAATATCTTGTGGCTTAACAATCATGTGTTTGTGTGTCAAGTTGACAAGATATCTGTTGTAGGGGCTGGTTTCATGTGTCAATTTGACATAAGCTAGAGTCAGAAGATGATGAAGCCCTAAGCTAACAAATGATCAATTAGCGCACAGTGAGTGGTATGAGACTTGGGCTGATGACTCTGGAATCTATAAGAAAGCAGGTTGAGCAATCCAGGGAAATGATGTCAGTAACCCATAACCCTCCATGGCCTCTGCATCAGATCCTGCCTTCAGGATCCTGCTCTGTTTGAGTTCCTGTACTGACTTCTTCAGTGGGGAACAGCAATACAGAAGTGCAAGCTGAAAAAACCCTTTCCTCCTGAACGAGCTATTAGGTGATGACATTTTATTGAAGCAACAGAAACCCTAAGACACATGAGCTTCTTCTCTACCGGAGCTGGCGTGTGTGGGGAGAGCAACATAGAGATGGCTGCCCAGATGGAGGTAGCATGAATGGTTTAGGGAGAGGGAGGAAAAGGTAGGGGAAGGGCAAAGGAACAGAGCAAGGAGGGCAGGGTGGACACAGACTTGGGGGAGGGAGAGGACAATAGAACAGAGACATGGGAGGGGGAGAGAAGGGAATGAGAAGAGGTGGGAGAGGAAGGAGCAGCCTTCTACTTTTATAATGGGTGACACTATGTTTCTCCCAACTCAAGAAAATCCTGACAAGGCCTCCCATCTGAGAGCTAACTTTCTCCACCTGGTCTAGCCAGCAGACATCTTGAGCTGTGGTATTTGGAGCAGGACGCTGCTTTCAGGAGGCTGGCTCAAACAGGACTTAGCAGTGTCTTCCCAAGCTGTTCCAGTTAAGATCAAGTAATACATAATGTCATCTAATCCAATTAGCAGGTTCAGAGGAAAATTGGATATTGTGGTGTGAAATTCCATGACATGACAAGAATGCTAATGGCCATCACACATTGAATCCCTTTTGTGTTTCCACCACCACAGAAGAGTCAAATGGGCCTTAGAGACTTGAAGCTGGTGCATTCTGGGAGTATTTCATTTTAAGAATGATTAATGTCATCAAACTCTGTTCAGCAAAATGCTTAAGTGAAATACTACTCCTATCACATCATAATCTCAGTGAATCCACAAACATTGCAAAGCACTCCTTTATTTATTACCAGCCACCTTAAGAAACATCTGATAAGGACTCCAACCTCAGAATAAACTGTCTCTCTCTGTTCTATCCAGCAGATTCACTGAGTTGTGAAATCTGGACATATACACGCCAGGCAGGAGTTGGTTTCCAGGATGCTGGCTCAATGGAACTGAAAAGTTGCTTCACAGGTAGCTTACAAGGTCCATGATATCACCTAACCCAATTAGCAGATTGAGGAAAAGACCAGATTTTGAGGACATGAGGACAAGTGCCGCCAGAATTGAGGTTAAGGCACACCTCTAATCTGGGTCACAGCTCTACATGTCTCCATTACTAGTTAAGTGAAGCTACAGGGTCCCAACAGATTTTTTCCAAGGGAAAATTCAATTGCAATACCAGCAGCAGTTATATATCAGTACTTTGTGGGGACCCCAGACCTTGAGTAGAAACCCAATTCCCCTTTGGCCTGGGAGCAGGCAGCTGTGTAATGTTTACTGAAAACAACTCAGTTCTATAAAGCTCTTGATAGGGCTCAGATAAGGGCTTGCTCACTGAGATACCATGACTTTCACACCCCCTATGGCTAGATGCCTCTTCCTGTTCCCCTGCTGTGTCTCCCTGATTCTGGGGCCTGAGATTAAACCACCAGCCAGGAGGGTGAGAAGTCTGGAAAGAATTGTATGTAGATGGATGACAGAAGTCCTTAAAAAGGGAAGCTCCTTTTTCTTGGAGAGACTTCTCCTGAGACTTCTCTCTCCTAAGCGGACTTGATATCTCCTCCTAAGCTGACTTGGGAAGCATAAAGTTTTTCTTAAAGCAACCGACCGTTCTCTGTGTCATCTATCACGTCCACCTCGCTACATTCTCGAATGCAGGCCGCACAGCAGGTGCAACAGTACTTGGACCATCTGTAGGGAAATACGTTCAGTGGATGGAGAAAAGGGTAGATAGCCAGCACAGAAAATGCTTTGGGTGCTGTTTCAGACAGATATTTACTTAAGAGGCCAGAGAAGAAAGGTCAGAACCTTTACTTCCACCACACCTTCTGTGTGTGGATAGGAGGTAGAAGCCTGCAGGACTTGCCCATACACACCAAAACATTAACTTTGCCCTGCCATTCCATCTAATGCTTGCTATCTAATCCAATTATTTTTGGCTATTGAGATATTCGTCAATGCCAGTGACCTTCAAATTGTCTGTTTTCTCAGAATTTACCAATAATGAGAGCAGCTAGCATTTGACCAACTCGCCCACCAAGCACATTAATAAAGGAACTATACCCTAAAGTAATTTTCTAATCACTGATAGTCATGGTTTTATAGTGCTATCAGTCAAGGACACATAATAACAATCTGTAGAGCAGGCGTAGACATGGGAGTGGAGGGGTAGACACAGGGAGAGACGGAGACAGAGAATGGGATAAAGGGACTATTTCTTTGAAATGATGGTGGTTGGTGTCCTGGGGTAAATGTGAGAATATAGCAAATAACTAGAATTATCCCATTGGAAAACATATTTTGGATATGTGAGGTCCTGAAATAATGAGAAAAGAATGAGATTCTTAGTAAACTAGGAGGACATGAATTGGAAAATATGGGGCAACAGCATGGAGTTTGGAAGCGTTGAGGGAAGGCGGTAAAACATGAAGACTAAATACCTCAGTTTAAAATAAGAGAATGATGAGGTGACCAGTGTTCATGCTGTAGAGTCTCAAGTCCTAGGTCAGGGTTTTCTCGTATTTGCTTGCTAGCAAAGCCTGGCATGCACAATTCCACCATAAATCCTCCTGCCTAGAAAGAAATAACATGAATGTATAGATAGCACCAAGAAAATGCTACATTTGTGTCAGTTTCTGGGATGAGTTCTCTTGTGGCCAAAACTGACCTTGAGCTTGGATGCTTCCTGGGCTGGTTGGAGCTGCTGAGCATTGTAGTGCCTTTCCCTCCAAGGTGCTGAAGACAGTGGTCTGAGCAGACAGCCTGGCCTCAACTGTGGGGTGTATGGTTGTTCTCATTTGGCAGAATTTTTATTTTAATTCTTAAACTTTTCCATTTTACATATCAGTTTCCCCTTCCACCTCTCTTCCCCTTCCTTCCCCCACCTCCCTTCTATGCCACCTTATCCATTCATCTGTTCAAAAAGGGGCAAGCCTCCCATGGGAATCAACAAAGCAGGTCCTATCATGTTGAGGCAGGACAAAGGTCCCGGTTCCACATCAAAGCTGACCAAGGCTTCCCTGCTTAAGGAGTATGTTCCAAAACTCCATCTCTTGTATCAGGGACAGGTACTGATCCCACTGCTAGGGACTCTACAGACCAAGCTACACAACTGTCATCCCCCTGCAGAGGGCCTAGGTCACTGCCATGTACCTCCTTAGCTGCTAGTATATAGAATTCTTGAGCTCCCATTAGCTCAGGTCAAAGGTCTCTGTGATTTCATTATTGTGGTCTTAAACTCCCTTCCTTGTACAATCCCTCCTGTCTTGTCAACTGAACTCCAGAGCTCAGCCCACTGCTTGCCTGTAGATCTCTGCATCTGCTTCCATCAGTTACTGGATGAAGGCTCTCTGTTGACAATTAGGATAGTCATCAATATGATTCCAGGGGAAGGCCAGTTCTGGTACCCTCTCCACTATTAAGAGTCTTAGCCGGAGTCATCCTTACAGATTCCTGGGATGTTCCCTTGCACCAGGTTTATAACCCAAAAATTGTCCCCTCTGTTAAGATATTTCTTTCTTTGCTCTCTCCTTACATTCCACCCTGAAGTTGACCAATCCAATTCCTCATGTTCCCCTCCCTCCATCCCCTCCCCTATCCAAACTCCAGTCCCACTCCCAGTATACCCAGGTGATCTCATCTATTTCCCCTTCCCTGGGAAACCCACGCATCCCTTTTAGGGTCCTCGTTGTTACCTAGCTTCTCTGGGCCTGTGGATTGTAACCTGGTTATCCTTTGCTTTATATCCAATGTCCACTCATGAATGAGTGCATACTGTGTTTTTTTCAGGGTCTGGCTTATCTCACTCAGATGGAACTAGTAAAAGTATCCCATTTGCCTGCAATTTCGTAATGTCATTTTTTTTTACCACTGAGTAATACTCCATTGTGTAAATGCCCCACAACTTTATCCATTATGTTTCCAGTTTCTGGCTATTACAATTAATGCTGCTATGAACATGGTTGAGCAAGTGTCCTTATGGTATGGCTGGTCATCCTTTGGCTATATGGCCAAAAGTGATATCACTGGGTCTTGAGATAAATGGATTCTTACTTTTCTGAGAAACCGGCATATTCATTTCCAAAGTGGATGTTCAAGTTTGCACTCCACCAGCAGTGAAGGAGTGCTCCGCTTACTCCACCTTCTCTTTAACGTAGGCTATGCTTAGCATTTTTTGATCTTAGAAATTCTGATATTTATAAGGTATCTCAGTCATTTTGTTTTGGTAGCTAAAGATGTTGATCAGTTAAGTGACTCTCAGCCATTTAAGTTATTCTGTTGAGAATTCTGTTTAGTTCTACACAACATTATTAATTGGATTATTTGGTACCTTTATGTCTAGCTTGTTTATTTTGGAGATCAGCCCTCTGTAAGATGTAGGGTTTTCACATTCTTTTTTTTATGTTCTTGTATGAGGTATGCCAGTATTTAACTGATTTTTTTTGCTTTTTTTTGATCAATGATCATGAGGGAGAATTGTGTATAATAACTTTATTGCATCTTTATGTGGTTTGGGTATTAGGGTGTCTGTGGTCTCATAAGATTTTGGAAGTGTTCCTTCTGGTTCTATAGTTTGGAGCAATTGCGGAGTATTGGTATTGGCTCTTTAAACTCTCATAGTTGTTTATATTTGTCTGCACTTCCTTTCATGCTGCTAAGTGAACTTAAAGTTTTCATTGGGCATTCTGATTGGCAAAGGAAATCACCATTTCAAATTCAGGAAAACTTAAGTGTTTGTGTTATATCCTGTCAGGGGACACATTCCTATATTTTAAAAAGAAACCTGTATTGGTCTTGCTTTAAATTTGGTACGTGGTGCATATCAAGAAAATTGTTTCAGATTTTCCAATTTTGTAAGTTGTGAAGAGCAGGCTTTGGAGAATAATGTGATTTTCAGGGTTTTTGCAGTGTAAGTTGTTAATCCCCCTTTAATCTCCAATTTCATTAATTTTGGATATTCTCTCACACTTGGCAGATTTTGAAGTGGGACCAGTTCATCCATCAAGCTTATTGCCAGCCAGCAGGCTGAGAGCACATGAGGGTCCACCAATGGGGATAATGGGCATACAGGCTCGGATATGTGACTCAAGGAAACTAAAACCATAACAATTAAGATCATAGAAAGTGAAGAAGAGTGGAGCAAGAAGCAAAAGAACTATTGGATGAGTCAAGAGTTGATCTAGAGATGAATGCAACTGAGAGCCAAGGAGGAACAGAGCATGTGCAGCACCGACTAGGAGGGGGGAGGACTGACATCATGATACAAAGAGGATCCAGCAGGGAATTCCTAAAGTTACCTGAGCTGATGTTGGTTGGGAGCACAAACCTATGCAAAGATAGCCCTCACCCAGCCAAGGAACTCAAGACCAACAAATCTTTGAAGTCTACTAGTCAGCAAGGAGAACCAAGCTGTTGAACTTCCTCTGTGAGAGACTGTCAGAAGATTATAAGTTGCAAGAAAAGAGGGGCACCCAGGCCCTAGACTGGGTGTTGACATGAAGAGCTGTAAGGCAAATAGAGCAGGGTTTGTAATGTGCTGCTCTAATTATTGGGCCTGAAACCAAGTTTAAGATGAGGTTCAGGGGCAGGAAACAGACTGACCATGAAGGACACCTTGTATGGGAGCTCAAGAAGCAGCCAGTGGTGTACTAGAACTGAGGCAACCATCATGTCTTTGCTTAACATTAGACTAACATGACATTGTGGTGGGGGTGTGCAGAGTGTCTGCATCACACCAATGATGAGTTAGGCAGATGCCACTTGGCTTTGTGGATTGCTATTAAAACATAGAGAGTGCAAATAAACCCACACAGGCATAATTTAGAGGAGAATTTTTAATGGCAGAAGTAGAAAACAATATATGGTATGGCATGTAGAAGATATGAATATGGGGCTTAGTGAAAGAATCAATTACCAGTCAATGACAAAGAAAAGGGACATGACAGGTGGCATTCCTTCAGATTACTTCTCAGCAGCAGAGTTCAGAGTCCAGAGTCCAGGTAGATGTGAGGCTACATGCATGGAGATGTGAGTCCAGCCTGGAGAGGAGTTTTCAGTGTTTAAGCTCTTTGGATGTGAACCTGACAGTTTCCAGTCACCTACCCAGTGCATTCTGCAGAGGAACACAGTAACCCACAGATTGTTTTCACTCCCCAAAAGTCCATAAGGTTTGAATCCTGAAGGATCTAGGCAGTCTCAGCAGGGAGGTGGTATCTTCTTTGCAAGTAAAGGCTCACTCCCCATCCCTGTCCTCTGAGGAGGAGGAGACCAGAAAGACCTCATAGAAGACACTCCATGAGACCTAGGAGCTGGCTCCCTTCGCTTATCTTGAGAGGCTGGGCTCATTCAAGTAAGTGTTTGCTTCTCAGTGGGATGTCCTGGGGCTCCTTCTATGAACTTGGAAGTCCAGTAATCACCTTGGTCGTGGTAAAGATCATCCTCAGGGGTTGGCCTGCAACATGGGATGGTGATGGCTCCTGGGACTCAGTACAAGGTCTGGCTGAGACCAGAGCAGCCATCCTCTTGAGACTTGGTTGGTCAGTTCTGGGCCCCTGGTATTTGCACTCCATGCTGAATGCTTGAACAAGTCCATTTCTGTTGCGCACAGTCCTGGGGTGATGTAGCTTCTGATGGATTGCATTCTGTGAAACGGCCTTTCTGCCATCAGCCTGAACAGTGGCTTGGGATCTTCAGTGACAGCCATGGTTTGCCCTTGCTCCTGCCTGGAGGGCAACATGCAGGAATCTGCAAAGCTTTGGGCGGGAGTGTTTCCAGGGCTAGTCTGTCTCCCAAGAGACTTTTTGGCAGGTGGCACTGTGGTCTCCATTCCGTACAGTAGCACCCTTCTCCTGCTTCCTGCAATGAACCCCAACCTCTTTGGGTGCTGTGGAGAAGACAAACACAGGCAGAGTTCAGGACCACACAGTGAGCATGGAAGAGCAGGGAGGCTTTGCAAAGAACACATGGAGCTCATAGGATCTACACTCCAGAGTGGAGTCTGTCTTGGGGCCATGGAAGTCAAATCTGCCAGGCTGTCATGGCCCAAATCAGTTGTGCAAAACCTGCAGGATGGGCAGGTTGAGCAGGGAGAGGTGAAGAGTTACAGCCTCCCTGCAAAGTGAAGTCGGGCTCACTCTGAAAACTCCAAGTTTCAGCCTGTGTCTGTGTGTTTTGTGACATGTCTTTTAAAAAACAAAATAGTGATGTCTGGAGAAACAGGAAGAAGGCTGTGTCTCCTGTGGTGACCTGGAAAAAGTCAGCTGCTGATTACCAGGTGGAGAATCAAAATCAACTGATGTGTGAATGAAGCCTGGAAAAGGCATCTTTAGATACCCTGCCTTGAAAGTGTCTCTCAAAGGTTTTGGGAGCCACTACGCAGTCTTGGCTGAAATTGGGATATGTAGGTGCAACTTAGAGCTCTCTGATCAATGTCTGGGTTCTAGAACCAGCAGAAAAAAATGTCTCCTTCTATGCCAAGAGCAAAAATCTTTGGGCAGACAGGTAGGTCTCCAGAAAACAGGGTAGACCGGCCATCCTTGTAGTCAGCTTGCAGAGAAGGGGGCCCTGAAGTTCGAGATCCAAGGTCATGCTCAAGTACAAGTGAGGGAGAGTGTGTCCTTCCTCCAGGACAGCTAGCCTACCCTGAGGAGAGCGCCAGCAGAAGCTCACTCGTCACACTCAAGTCAGCCTACCCTTGGAGGGACCAAATAAAGCCTTGCTGCAAGAGGGATGTTTGTAAGAGTCGGCAGGCAAAGTGGAAACGAGTGAACAGGAAGACAACATGGCAAAAAAAGGAACAAGGTTGTAGGGCACAGGGAAATAGACTTTCGGGCATAGAGACATGCCATGTATTCACAGTCGAGTGAATGTGTTGATCCCTCCTTGGGCTCTCGATGGGGAATTTCTGCAAGGGAGCTCTCTTCTATTGCTCCTCACACCTGTGGGACAGACAATGGTGTCGGAACAAGTAAGCTTGATGTCCAAAGGGGAGGCAGTTGTGTAGATATCTAGCTCCTTTTGGTGTGTATGTAGTCAGAGAGGAGATAAGCTACACCTGGAACCTTCTCTCCTTCCAGTCCCCGGGGCCTTGTGCTTGCCCATCACTCACCTCAGTCCTCAGCCGTGGCTCGGTCTGTTGTCTCTCTCAGTAGGGCACATGGTACCCTGTGTCTGGGACCTGCCAGGATCCTGGTTCTCTTTATTCTTTCTGCCTTCCAGAGGCTTTGGGAATAGGAACACAGAGGCACACTTAATCGTGCGCCTCCTGCTCCTCCAGGTATGGCCAAAGGCCCCACAGTCTCTGCATTTCACCTGTGAGTGCCAAGGGAAATATCAGAGTCACAAAGGGATCAGGGGCCCGTCCAGCCTCAGTGCCCGTCAGGGTTCTAATGCCCCTCGATGCTCCCTCTCCAGAGGGGACACAAAGAAGAGGTACCCACCCAACCCAATAAACAAACTCCCATACACACCCTACTTCTTAAAGGGCTTAATCACCAAAAGGCTGTTTCTTTACACTTGGAAGAGGCGAGCATCCTTGAGAGGTTCAAGGGTGATCACAGCGAGCCTTCTCTGGGACACAGGACCAGTCCCACCAAAGAGGAGCTTCACTTACTACCCACTGGGAAAACCTTCTGAGCTATGAGCCCTCTTGATTTTCTCTGGGATGTCTGAGATGGAAAGGCTCCATGGCCCCGAAAATGGTTGTGTGTCTTCTAACTCATGGCTGAGTGTGAGTCAATCTTCTGATAAGGAGCGATAGCTGTCTTTCCTGTGTCTATCCAGGTGCTTGTGTGAGCTGTTGGATGTGGAGACACACACACACCAGTCACCAGGCTGCTTTCAGGAGGCTGGCTCCAACAAGACTGAGAAGAAGATGTTTCCGTGGCTGCTCACACAGTCCAGGAAGTCATCTAAACTTATAAAGGGATTGGGCGGAAACCTGGATTTAAGGTGTGAGGATACACCCTCTAATGCCTGATCCTGAGTGGCAAACTCCCTCTTCCAGACTGGTTTCGCGCCTACGTAATTTTCTAGTGTTTCTGTGAAGCTTAAACTATGGGCAGAAGTTAAAAGGGCAAATTCCACTTCAAAGCCAGCAATACCTGAAACTGAGAAGCTTCTGTAAGGCAAAGGACACAGCAAGTCTAAAAGGAAGCCCACAGAATGGGAAAAAATATTTACTAATCCTACATCTGACAGAATGTTGATTTCCAAAATTTAAAAAGAACTCAAGAAGCAAGTCTCCAAAACAACAAAGAATGCAATGACAAAGTGGGCTGCATAACTAAATAGAGAATTTTTGATAGAGGACTCTAAAATGGCTGAGAGGCACTTGAGAAAGGGCTCAACCTCCTTAGCCATTTGGGTAATGCAAATCAAAATAACTCTGAGATACCATGTCACCCCAGTAAGAAAGGCTGAAATCCAAAACAATGACAATTTATGCGGCAGAGGATGTGGTGAAAGGGGAACACTCCTCCATTGCTGGTGGGAGTGCCAACTTGTTCAGCCACTTTGGAAATCAGTATGGAGATTCCTCAGAAAAATGGGAATAAACCTACCACAAGAACCCAGCAACTCCATTCTTAGGCATGTATCCAAAAGATGCCCATTCACATAACAAGTCTGTCTGTTACACTATGTTCATAGCAGCATTGTTTATAATAGGCAGAATTTGGAAGCAACCTAGATGCTCCTCAACTGAAGAGTGGATAGGGAAAATGTGGTATATTTACACAATGGAGTACTATTAAGCAGAAGAAAACAATGGAATCCTGAGATTTGCGGGCAAATGGATGACACTAGAAGAAACCATCCTGAGTTAGGTAACACAGTCACAAAAAGAGAAACATGGCATGTACTCTCTCATATATGGATTTTAGACATAGATCTGTGGAGTGCCAGCCTACAATCCCATGGCCAGAGAGTCTGGGAAACAGAACCTTCATTCAGTGGCTTATGGAAGAACAGGCACACTCCCATGGCTAAGCACTGAGGAGAACACCAAAAAAGCCAGTAACAGAGAGGGAGGAATGATGACCAAAGGGATTAAGACTGGGCTGGTGTAACCCCCAGAAACAGCTGACCTGACAAAGGTTAACATTTGAATACCCTGCATTAGCCTTGGAATCCAGTCTGGACTGATCAAGACCCCCTGAATGTGGGTGTCAGTGAGGAGGCCTAGGTAATCTATTGAGCCTTGGGCAGTAGATCAGTACTCATCCAGAGTATACACACGTATTTTGGACTCCCATCCAACAATGTGAGATAAACTCTCACCCTGAACTCTTGGGGGAGGGTCTAGGCCCTGCCCTGGATGAATGACAGACAATGGATACCACTATGGAGGTCCTTACCATCTCTGGGGAAATGAGGGGATAATGGGGGCTTAGGGGCAGGGCACTGGATGAGGGGAGGGAAAGGGAGAGGGACGTAGAACTGACTTGTGAAGAAACCTTCTTTCTAATCTAAATTTAAACTTAAAAATAAAAAAATACAAAAAATAGAATTTAAATGCTAGATTTGAATCCAACAGGGTCATGAATACATTTTATAAAAAAACCAGCAACACTTAATTTATTGGTCATTGCTCAGACCATTTACTGGGTGGTGCTTAAAAATCGGGAATGGTGACTGGGTGGAGATGGCCAACACAGAAAGTGCCATTGGCAGGCTTTGTGTCACATACAAATGTCTTTAGAGGCCACAACGGGAAGGTGACAGCCATGGCTTCTACTCGTTGTTCTATGTGTTGTGGATTATATTTTGTGGGGTATTTTTTATGTTTCTGTTTTCTTGTATTTCCTGGATTGTTTACTTTCACTTGTTTTCTTTGGTGTTTGGACATATTCATATGAGACTATGATATTGGGGTTCCCGGGACAAGCAGGAACATATCACATGATGTTAAACTTCCACAGGATCAACGAAATCTTTGGAAAACAGAGTTGGCAGAAATTTCTAGGCCTCACCCATATATACCAAAGCATCCTTTCTTGCCACTCGGTGATCTAATACTTGTCATGTCATCTATTTATGTTTCCATTTAGACAGTATTGTAGTGATATTTATGATTTATTAAATCTTTGTTTGATGAGATGTAACTTACCAAGTGAGAACCTACCCAAAAATTTAGGATTGTGGAAGGGTTTATATTTGTCTTTTCATGAAAATAGTTGAATCCATTTAAGGTGTCCAGAAAACTCCGGACCAGTTGATGTCTTAAAATCTGAGAATAATAGTGCAGAAAAATTGTCCCAAACAAAGACATAAATTAGTCTATTGGTATATCATACTTCTGATAGACTAACATTCCATAAATCTTCTGTAATTTTTGTTTCTTCTTTTCTCTAAGGGCATATAATTCCAATTATTCTTCAGAAAATGCTGTTCAATTAAAGAGTAAAGCTGGCCTTATAGTGTGGCTCTCTCCTTCTCTAAAACAATGCATGATTGCTAGAAAGCATCAACATTCTCTATCTGGTGTCAGAGGAGCCACCTGTTAAAAAAAGAAGAACACATTTTTAAGTTCCTTTTTATTGCCACTGAAAGAAAGGCCTTGAAGAATCTAAGGAAACAAGCCATTCCAAAACCGGCTCTTTGGTTTCCTGCACCCTGGAGGAATCCCTTTCCAGATGAGTAAAATAAATTTATGCCTATGGAGTAATCCCTATTGTTCTTGAGGAGAGAAGAGATAAGCAAAACCGGATAATTTAGAGGAGTCAGAGACCAATTTTTTCCTTTAATTAGAAACACTCATGCTTCAAATGTCAATCCAAGCTCCTCCACTCTGGATGAAATTTGATAAGGATTTGAATTGGGATCTCCCCAAACGTTAGTGGAGGGAATGATTTTTGCTTTTGGTTTTTTGTTTTCTTCCTAGAAAATA